TTCGTGGGCTCTTTCTGTTTCATTTTGAGATTCTCATTTTTTATTTATTTGTTTGTTTTTGTTTTGTTTTTCCCTTATTGCGATAAGCAGCCAGTCGATAAGGAGGACGAGGGCGAGCAGAGGGAGTGGGCGGAGGTAGAGCGCGGTAAATAGTATCTGTATCTGCAGCTGTTGTAGGTACAAGCTGCATCTTGTCATCGCATCAATGAGCTTGAGCCGCATATAGTATTTGCGCACTCACACAGACACACACACACACACACAAACACACACATTGCTCTCAGTCCATTCAACTGGAGCGTATCTGAATCGATTCGAGATTCAAGACTCAATTTAAAATAGCTTTACTTACACATTGATTATTATGGAATTATGAAATTGTGTATTGTCGCAACGTCTAGTTGACCTCATCGAATAGGCCCAATGTACGAAGAATATGATCTTAACGCAAGTCTGCAATGCATTCTGTAACCATCGATACCCTGTAAATTTATAAATCTGTAATAATTTTAGTAATATATTTTATTTTATTTTTATTATTGATTTGGCTAAAGCATGCCTATAATAAATAATATTTATTTTATTTTTGTGTTACAGAGTAAAATAATAATAACAGTAAATAATTTGTATATAATTTGACTAATTCATATAAAATTTTAAAATAATGAAATAAATTGGTTTAAAGCTTAAAAATTTGTATGAAATTTAGAAATATCCAAATTATTTACGTTTATTTGTAATGAAGGGGAATAAAGTATATGTGTATATGTATTGTTGGAGTGGTGCAATGCTTGTTAATGGGATTTGGCATTAACATGTATATACAGGGTATCTGCTAGCTGGCCGTCCCTCTTCAATGCCGCTGTTCGCTTTGCGCTGCTCGCCACGCTTCAGTTTCGAGGTAAATCACGCTTTATTGCATTTGAAAAGCAATTTGCTATGGCCAGTGAGTATCCGAGCGAAAAGAATACCTGTGGGGCGAACAAAACATGTATGTATGGGTGTATGTATAGCCAGTCTGTCCCATATGTGTGTAAGTCATTGTTTTATTATGATTATGTAGAATCGGCTGATTGGGGGTGATTAACCCTATTTAGATGTGACTGAAAATTCATTCGAACTTGTCAAATTCGATGATTTTTCATAACGATTCTCTCGACACTCTGCAGATTTGTCATGCATATGCCCGGGCATTCGAGTAAATGATTTCTTGAGCATTTGCTTTTACTCTTTTTTTTTATTTTATTTTTTTTTTTTTGTTGCTTTGAAAAATAGTAATTATATAGAAAACAACAAAGCAAAACGTATAGAAAATAATTATACAATTTTTTTTTTTACAGCGCTTGAAGAGTTTTTCTTCTTCTCTTGGCGCAATATGTATATAAAAACACACGTATATGTATATACATATATTTTTTATTGTTGCTTGTCTTTAGCTTGTGAGGTTCATAAACCTTTTGAGTGTTTACCAATTATCATGATGAGTGCTCGGCCAAGATGAACGAACAGCAGCCCATAGAAATGTGTGTTTAAGCAATTGTAATCAAATGTGTATAAATTTTAATAATTTAGCAACTAATGAAGCAACGAACTTCCATTAAATTTATGTAATTGCAGACTGACAATGATGGACAATAAATTGATGCAGTTCCTAATTAGTTTTTGTTTACAAATTGAGTTTGCATTGTTTGAGAAATTTGATATTTGCGCATGTTAACCTGAATGCAAATCTAATTATTAACTGACTAATTGATGGCTGTCTATAAACAAGTTCGAAAAAGAAAGGGAACACACTTGAATGATATCCTGTAAACTTCGATGAGTGTAGCTGAAAGAGTTAATTAATCAGAAACAGAAGCTTTAGACATTGCATAAAGCCAATATACTCTGCTCATTTGTGGACGGGCATAAAAGTTGTCTTGGGCTAAAATTTGATGGATGTATATATAAAATATTATATTGTACGAGTCTTAGTTATAATTAATTTAGACAGTTATTTTGTTCTTTTTAAATTTATAAATGAACATTGCGTAAAGTCCTTGATTTATATTTAAATCACATTAGTAAGTACATCACCTATTATTAGTAATTTTTATCAACAAAATGTGTGTGTGTGTGTGCAACCCGAGTAACTCTGATAAAATGGGGTATATGCAGTCTAGTCTACCCTTATCTTTTCACTCAGCTGTGTCGATATTATTTTGATAAATTAGCTGCTAAAACAGCTTAAGTCAAGCAAATAAGCAATGTTCTTGGAAAATACTGCAGACGTGTGTGTGTGTGTGTGTGCGTGTGCGCTTTAATATGTCAAAATTATAAATTGACTAAATTGACTGTGAAATGTGCAGACTTGAAGCTATTAAATAAGCTATGTGTGGGAGCGAACTGAGCTGAGAACGAGCGACAGCAATAACACTAAATTGAACTAGCTGCAAGCATCTGGGATATGCCATGCCAGCCACTGAGGCAGCATGTTCACATGCTCTAGACATATGTAGCAAGAAATTGTGAACAATTAAAATGGCAACAACAAAAGCAACAACAGCAAAGGCATATTGATTGCAATTGCAGCGAAGCGAAGTGTACAATGCGGCGTATGCGCAACGTTGCAAAAATCATAAGTAAATAATCAACAAGCTGCAAAACAACAGCCATAGCAACAACAACAAAGACAACAACGGCAACAAGAAATACCTAAAATAATTATTAGTCCAGCACCAGAGTCGATTGCAATGATATATGTATATATATATATATACAGATATACATACATATATACATACAGATATACATACATATATACTACAAAGTCCAATGATCGCTTTAGCAACTCTTGTAACTAACTCTGTCTATATGTATGTATATACGTATATATTTAATACATATGAACGCTTTTGTTTTTCAGTTGAAACTGTTATGGTTAAAGTGAGCACAAAACAAACAAGCAAAAAATGCTGCAAACGGGTTTAAGCGACTGCATAATACTCGTTCACAGTCGAAGCCGTAAATCAAAAGTATTTTACCAGCATAACATGATGATGTTAAGGAGATGATAATGCGTAGATCATTATGAGATGATGATTATGAGGAGGAGATGATAATGAAAGGAGATCTAAAGTAATATTCAGCTGCAGAGCTTGGGATCTCTGGATGATGTCTTATTTATGAATGCATAATATCATATTATGAGCCCCCCAAATATTTAATTATAATATAATTCATTTGAATGTTTTGAGCATTTAAATAGGTCCCATAAATACAGCTCAAACCACTATACCCTCTTCACAGCGCCAGCATGAGCATGAAAACAGTTAAGCAAACAGAGAGAAACATAAACAGACGCATGGCTTAACCGAGGATTGAGCTGTTGTGTTGTGATTCATGGCTCTATTGTTGCACTTGCAGTGAATCCCACATTGCTCGTGGTCAGCGATGTGAGTCATTTGAGTGTTATCAAAAGAAATTTCCACATTTTCACAGGGCACAAAGCGCAGCGCGCATTTATCAGCGAGTACGCTGAGCAAACAAACGAGACATGTAGATATCTAGCAAAATATAATTGCCAATAGTTGCAAGAAAATTAGAAAAATCATTTGAATAATGTGTGAATGTGAGTGAAAGTGAAATTGAAAGAAAATCTAAGCCAAGTGAGAGTTCATTAATAGAACAATAATGCATGAGACTGCAAGAGAGGAAAAAATCTCTGATAGAAAAAATAACTAGAGAAGCGCTATCTACTACTATCTACTCTTATATACTACTGTTTACTACAATCTACTACAATCTACTACTATTTACTACAATCTACTACTATCTTCTACTATCTACTACTATTTACTACTATCTACTACTATCTACTACTATCTACTACTATCTACTACTATTTACTACTATCTACTATCTACTATCTACTATCTACTATCTACTATCTACTATCTACTACTATTTACTACTATCTACTATCTACTATCCACTATCTACTATCTACTATCTACTATCTACTATCTACTATCTACTATCTACCACCTACTATCTACTATCTACTACTATCTACTTTGAAAGTTTGGAGCTCTAATAATTAAGAGTAAAGCAGGTGATTATAAAATAATTGCAGCAAGACAGGATAGGCAAAAGGCTAGAGAAGCACTCTCTTTCTTTCTCTCTCTCCATATATATATATATGTATGGTTCTACATATAGTATATATTATATACATATATTCGTCTTATATTATTTATAATAATAATTATGATATGTTCATTTATGAGCTTTCATGCTGATAGATTGGACTAGCTTTTCGGTAGCTGCTGCAATCCATTTGCCTCGCAGTCGCAGGCGCTGAGGCGTGGCAGTGTTTGGGGCAGGGCGGTGCTCAAAAGGAGTCGGCGAGCGGCGCCTGTGCTCGCTGCTTGCCTGGAAATGCTTGGCCATAAATTTGAGCACTGCATTTGCGTATGTTTGGCATCGTCGCAGCTGCCAGCTGCTAGCTGCTCTGTCTACTCTGGCTGCTCTGGTTGCTCTGGCTATTGGCTGCCTCCGCTCGGTTAAATTTATGTGCAGATTTTTATGGTTAGTTCCTTTTTTGGCAGCACAAATGCCCGCCGGATATATCCGTCTTAGGGCACACACAGTCAACACTTGCAACATGATGTTGCGGTTCGAGTGCCCGCCAGCGCAGCGTTATTTGCATTCTATGCGCCAGGGGCGGCGTGTAGGGGGTGCAGCCCCCAGGTGCAAAGGTTGCCGTCGAGTCAATTGCAGTCTGGACTAAAAATAACATTTTTTTTTTCTCATTCTCTATTGATTGATGAGCCAAGGTTGAGTACTGCGCGCTGAAAGCATTTCCTCGACGCTCAAATAACAGAGAATACTAATTACCAGATGGCAGCGTCAAATGTAGACTATATTCAATTTGCTAAGCTTATAGAAATTCAAGAAGCTTTTCTACCCTCAATTAAATTTATTTTATTTATGCGTTGTCTTTAATCATTTCTTTGCAGTTATTATGTTGGACACCCCCACAAAGGCAGCTAAAGCAACTGTAGAGTGAGGTAAGTGATATATATATATATATACATTACTGTACTATTTACTTATACATATATATGTGTGCATTTCCAAGCAGTTCATTTATATTGTTTATGGCCATCATGAGCAGCGCAATTTGCAGAACTTTATCGAGTTCTCGCTCAAAGGAATCAATGTTGGCGAAATTGCAAATTGAAATCGCAATTTGTGCTAAAAATCAATTTCCGTTTGGCTTTATGAACAAAAATATTTATTTGCTTCATGACATTTTAGATTCAAATTGAATGCAACAGGAGCAGCAGCAGCAGCAGCAGCTGTAGCTGTAGCTGTACCACCTTTCGTGTCGTGTCGCCTCCTCGCACCGTCTCCTCCAGTGCTGCGCATCTATTTTAAAAATGTCTTGTCTTCGTGTTCTTTTTATACCCTGAACCCACTGAAAATGGGAAATCGGGGTATAATGATTTTGTGAAAATGTATGTAACAGACAGAAGGAGGCGTGGCAGACACCATAAAGAACAGTCGAGTTTCGATTATTTGAAATGGCAAATTAAAATTATCGGAAATTATTGTAATTTAATTTATTTCGAGGGGAGAGATTTATTTTCCGATTTAAAAATTTTCGAGACTCGACGGTATGTATGCTCTTGATCAGGATAACGAGTGAGTTGATCTAGCCTCGTCCGGCTGCAGGTCCCCCGTCCACCTGTTCGCTCGTATGAGCGCAAAGATCTCGCACACCACAAAAGCTAGAATTTGGAAACTTTCTACATATATATCAGCTATGCCAGACGCAGTAAGAGCTTATAATTTTATCCATAACATATTTAATTTGCGTATGATCGATAATAATCGATAGTTTTAGTTCAATTTTTAGCTAAGTTGATAAATACTGTCAGAGCTGGAAATTTAAGGTTTACTATGGAGGTTCACTTAATGAATATCAAGATGTTGCAATTTGTAGATTTGGGATAGCACGGCCCCTTTGCCTCAAATTTGAAATAAAATGTATTTAAATACAGTAGAATCCGGTTATAACGACACTCAAGGGACCGTCGTTATAATCGTACAGACGCTTTAAGCGGAGTTCGTTATAACCAGATTCTACTGTACTGGAGACTTGTGCTTGTGTGACTGACCATTAGCTGACCTTTTGCTGGGCTTAGGGTATTGGTCAGTCGAGCAAACCTGACTAAGGCACTCTTACTTCTTTTCATTTCGTTGGCAAAGCGCCAATTTTTTTTTTAATTTTTTTTTTTTTGCGTATTTTTGTGTTTACCTTTTGCAAGTTAGATTCGGACTCCAGCTGTGGCTGTGCGCATTTAATTGTGTTGACAAATGCCCAGTGATATATATGTATATATCTATATATATACAATATATAATTGAATTTTAAAATATGTGCAATTTTCACTTTGAAGATGAGTGATGAGGGGGATGAGAGGGCAAAGTGTGAAGTGAAGCGGAGTCGTTAAGAAACTCTGCTGCTTGGAGCATGCAGTTATTCAATTATCAATTATAGTTGGCTAATTAATTATAAGTTTGTATTGAATGAAAATGTTCAAATGTTTGACTAGGAATTACCATAAAAGTCTTTTGGAGCGGTTAGACAGAAAAGCGTTAAAGGCTCGGGAAATCGCTGAAAGCCTTAAAGCATTTAATGGGAAATAAATCAAACGCTAACAGGTGACGATAAACTGTGTCGGAATATTGCCCGAGCCATGCAAATTGTTTCATAAATTCTTAATTTTTAAGTGAGCTGCCCGTCTTGAAGCTATAAAAAGCGCAAACAACTTTAAATATTTTATGGTTTAAAAACTTGAAAACAAAAGCTTCAAGTGCGCCAAGTTTGGTAAGGCTTTATATTGTAACTGCAGCTTAAGGTAGCGCCTTCTCTACTTGGCTAGATTTTCCTGAAGGACTTGTATTCATGTGTATATATAACACATCTATTTATGTTATTACAAACTGACGGAAGTAAACTGTAAAGAGTTGCTGCCCTTCGCTGACTGACAGTTGATGCGCTGAAAATGCTTTCAGTTGAGTTCAGTTCAGTTCAGTTTTAGTTGAGTTGAGTTGAGTTTGTTTTCATTAATTTTTATAGTTTTTTATTTTTGGCCAAGCACGAAAATGCCGCGAAACGTTTTCCCCCATTTGCAACGAGCTGTAAGGCCAAATCGAGAAACCAGTTCAAAATGCCCGCATAAATATAACCGAAATCAGCTAAACTCGCCCAACCAAATGCATTGAGCAAAGTCAGGGGAGCCAGCGCGCCAAGTTCGTGCTGCCTATGGATAAGTCATTGGAGTTGATTGACTTTACTTTAGAGTGTCCCTAAGGCGGAGTTTGAAAGTATTTACACATATGTGAAGCAGTAGTTGGAGTAAATGTGGCGAACCATTCAGCAAGGATGGGGATATGAAATCTAGCCTAGCTGATGGGTCTATGGGTGGGGCTGTAAGTACAAATTTTCAGTTATTACAATTGCGAGGTATTTGGAAGTTAAGCAGACTCGATTGGAGTTCATGTTTTACTCTGGGATATTGTTTTTTTTTTCCCTTTTGGATGGGACTTCATTCTTTTCCTAAGAAAATTTAACAAATACAGTGGAATCCCGATAATTCCAAATGGTCATTTTTTTTTTTCGATTTACAAAATAATTTAAATTATCGATAATTATTGAGAACGAATTTCTTTCAAGGGGATAGAATTCTTTTTTCGATTTATCGCGATCTTCGATTTAGCGGAGTACGAATTATTGAAACTAGACTGTATTTCTATTTTTGGGATGCAAGAATAAAGTTCTGCCTATGGGAGTTGATTAAGTTTAAGATAGAGTATAGACTTGCATAAACTGTCCTAAGGCGCTTTGACTTGCTCTTATGCTAAATATTAGTTAAAGTTAGTTCAGCGAGAATGGGAATTAAGAATAAATTGACCCAGCGATTTCAAATGGGAATTTCAATTATCAAATTTTTTTATAATTTTTTTTGCGTGGTATCTGGCAGTCAGGCACACTCGATTGGAGTTTCAGGTTTTTCTTTGGGATGTTTTTTTCTTTTTTCATTTTTAAGGGGAAGTTCATTTCTTTTCCATAGCGAATTTAACAAATATGTACCTTTCACTTTGAAAATCGTAAAATGTCACAAAGTGTTCAATAAAAACCCAAATGACAATAAAAATGCGATAAAAAAAAAGGCTAGCAGGCAGCAACCGCAGTGCACAGCAGCAGCAGCCGCAGCAGCAACAACAACAAAAACAATGCAATTGCATAAATTAATGTAAATTTATGCGAAAAATTACAACAGCAACAGCAACAAGCGGCCAACATGTTGCTACAACAAAGAAGAGAGCAGTTACATTTGAAAGAGGCAGGAAGGAGAAGAAGCGAAAGAGAGAAACAGAGAACGAAACAAAAACTATTTATGCTTTTTCACATAGCGGCGCTTTGGTGCGGAGGTGTGCTGCACAGGTGTGCTGGCTGGCAGTGCGAGGCCGAAAGCTATCAAAGCTTAAATATTGTTGCAAATAGTTTTTAACCGGCTTTGCTCGCAACAAGTTCTGCATTGCATTGCATCAGAATGAAATGCAAAACGTAGAAATGGATTTTAAATTTCGTTTTGAATTTTTAAAGCATTTCACACAATTTCCTCAAACTAAAGAAAGACACAGACTTTGCTGCGAGTGTTATATATAATTGGATAATTAGCAGCATCTTTGATTTATGTTTAATTCATAAATGTTGAGAAATTTACGGAAATTTATGTCTGAAACGTGTTGGCAATTGGCTTCAACGGGTCGAAACTCTTCTTCAGTTTTGATGAGTTTCTTAATTTCCATTTTTTTTCTTTCTTTTTTTATTTCCCAACTCGAATCTGTGCTGGGAAACGCATTTGCATATTTTAAAGTTTTCTTTTTGTGGTTTTTAAATGCAACAACAACGACAACAATAAACGAAATCTCCAAGTAGGTTAGCCAGAGCTCTGCTAACTAGCCTAACTAACTAGTTATATAAAAATCGTGGAAATCGTTTTTCATCTTTAACAAGTAAGAAGGCGCCAGTCGAGACTGCTCGACTAGGAGATACCCTGAACCCTCCAAGCTGATATTCTAATTAGGCTGAAAAAACAATGACGATTTTTCGATTATTCTCGATAAAAAAGTTATCGGATGAGTTATCGAAAAAATAAAGCAAACTCGTACTGCCTATGGTATACAGGAGTATGCATGCAAATTTCAGCTCTCTAGCTCTTATAACTTCTGAGATCGACACACTCATACAGACGGACGGACGGACAGACGGACAGGGCTATATCGACTCAGCTCGTCGCGCTGATCAAGAATATATATTCTTTGTGGGGTCTGCCACGCCTCCTTCTGCCCGTTACATACTTTTTCACAAAACCATTATACCCTGATTTCCCATTTTCAATGGGTTCAGGGTATAAAAAGTGGCGCAAGAAATCAAATTGTTGCGGCTAATGTGACGGGCGGCAAATGGGCATGAAATAAAATTTGAATTCGAATCAAATCATATTTACCTGAAATAATAATAATATAAATAACAATAATACTAATAATATAAATAATAATAATAAACAAATATTCTTAATTAAATAAAAGTATTAATTTAAAATGAAATGTCACTTAATTCATAATAGAAGAAATTAAATAAGCCAACGAGATCCCCTGAGCCCTTGAAATAGCAGATATTCCAATAATTCTACGCTTCTTCTATGGATGCATAGAAACGATATGCATGCACACTCACACATCAGCACGCGCTCTGCTTCGGGGGAATTTTGTTGTTGTTGAATACGTTTTGATATAAAAACAGGCATCAAAAGAAATGTCAGTCTCTAGCTTTTATAGGTGCTGGGATAGAAGCATTCAAACATACAGAGAGATGGATCGGTCGATCGAGCTAGCGGAAGCTGATCAGGAATATATATGTATATAGAGACTATGTGGTACTCCACCTGTTATATAAATACATGCCCTGTTGGTCCTTTTTCAAAGGGTTAGG